GAGAGAGAGAGAGAGAGAGAGAGTGTACAGAGAACAGAGAAAGAACTGCTTAGTGGTAATTGGCGGGCAAGACGGATGGCGGTACTTATTTGCACTCGGTCTTTGGAATTAAAAGTACCGAGCGGTGCGCTCATTAATCTCGACGTCCGCGAAGAAAGAAGATTCTTGGACAGAGATAGCACGGTGTAGAAAGGGAGACGGAGAGCCAGCGAAGATGAGGAAGAAGGACTCGGTGCTACTGGCGAACGCGTTCTCCACAGGATGTAATCGCCGAACAAACTGAAGGTCCGCGGACAATTTCCATCAACAAGATTTACACAGCCTCGGACGCAATCAGCTTCTATACCTCCTTCTTCGCATACTCTTGGTTACTCTTCTCCGCTTTCCTTTTCACGTTTTCGCGTCCTCGTTCTTGGTAAACGAAGCGCAACTCACGAGTAACACGCGTAGCGGAGTAGCACGAGAGAGGATTGAAGTCGAGAAAAGGAATGAGCAGAATGAACGACACCACGGAGAATTCTTCATTGCAACGTTTCTCTTGTGTTCTTTCCACGTCTTCGTTCATCTTCTTTTGCGTATCAAACGATCGGCTGAAAGACGAGAGATGATAAAGTAGAATCCTAAGGGAACAAAAAAAGCGAGGGAAGAACGACGAGGTCTCTACCTTCTACTCCTCGATGTATTTCTCTTTGAACTTCTTGAAATCGTGGTCTACGATATCTTCGTTCGCAAGCACAGAGTAGGTGTAGGATAGACAGGAAAAGAGGAGAAAGAGAGAGAGAGAGAGAGAGAGAGAGAAGAACTGAGCAGAAGGAAAAGGGAGAAGTTAGAGTTCCACCCTAAAGATTCTTCTTCCATCTTCCCGAGGTTATGGTGCCCGACGAGCTGACTTCGGGCGCAGCTACCATTTCTCGGGCGGTGATTGGCCCCGCGGGGGGTGGCGCATGCGCACTGGCTGCCTGCTCCCGCTGCCCACATTAACATTCCTAACCTCACTTCTTGCTGCGCTCTTTGCGCGTGATAGATTGTGCGAGGCGTTTTTGGATAGGTACGAGCCTTACCGGCTCGTTCTTTTTCTCCCACTTTGCTCTCGCTGCCTCGTTACCGAATCGAAATTTCTCCCCCTTCTCCTTCCCCACGTCCCATCCTTATCTCCACCCTTTCTCACTTTTGTTCTCCACGATGGAAACGAGACAGCCATCTCGCTCGAAGCTAATGTCCTACGGACATTATCTACATCTATCTTAAGATCTCTGCCTTTTTACGACAATTACCTACCGTTCTCTCTTCTTTCAACCCTTGGATCCTCCTGTTCATCGATCCGCCGATTTTATAATTGACTCGGCCTCTGTCAGAGGATAAAAGATAACCCAGGGTTCCGTAAGGCGATAGGGACATTTTATGATCGAACGACTTAATTGCCATTCCCGTATTAGATGGGTGGTTGCCGATCGGCGAAGCGGCTCGTTCCCCCCGCCATGTGTTTACTCGTGTACGAAGCATAATCGCGGGACTACTCAAGAAGGTGGGCAACCGTTAATGCGAGGGGCATATTGGCTCGACGGGGGTGCGCGGCCGATGCAAACTCGAACGCAACCGCGAACGTAACGCTGTATAACTCGAGGATGCTTTGTTTCAATCTCTCTCTCTCTCTCTCTCTTTCTCTCTTTTTACCCGTTACCTTATTTTTCGTTCTTCTCGGTTTCTCTCTCTGTTGCACATCGTCCACCCTGTTTCTTTTCTCGTTTCGGATTTTTCGCTCCTCGTTCAACCTTTTCCCCGTTCTATCTGCGGCTTTCTCTCCCATTCTCATTCCCTTCTTCCTTCGTCTCTGTTCTTCGTCTCGCGTTTTATGCTCGCGAGCGCGTCCGCTGGCGCGCATACACGCACACACACGCGATCCTCGCACGTGATTTAATGCCTCCCGAGCTGTGCTCCTTATTTATGCACCGAACATGCATACACGCTTAGCTTTAGCGACCGTAGCGACGGTTAAGGCCGGTACCTATATCCTGTGGCCGACCGACAAGCACCGGGGCCCCCAGCCTCGCATATACGGACCTCGCATATTATGGAGTCTGGGGCCCCGGCGACGATATTAAAAGAAGGAGTAAAAAGGAGCGGAGCCAGAGGTGAAGTGCACACGCGAGAGAGCCCAAATATAGACTCCGCTCGAAATTAGTAACTTCTCTTTGTCCGCAGTTGTAGCTCGCGTGTCGTACGAATAGCCAACGAAATACCGAGGCCGAATTCGAGCTTCTACAAAAGCTGGTTTATGCTGACGTCCTCTGATAACGATCCCTTTGTCGTTGGTGAAATTTGGGAAGTTTCACGCTGCGATCCATGCGCTCGATGAACGTTCCGGTCGTAACGAGTGCAAAAAAGTCAAATATATTTTGCCGACCGATGTCGCTTCGGATCTTTCGGATGATCTTTATATGGTAAAAGACGAATCGCGCGGAGGAACTTCGCGAAGGAAAAAGAGGAACAGGACGAAAAGGGGAACGGAACAATTTGTCAAGACCAAGTCAAGAGCCATCTGTCTGTTGCTATGACCGGGGAATCTCGGGAACGATCGCCGGGACGTTTTATTCGTTTGTAATCGGCCGCGTATCAGCGCCAGCCAAGTATTTCGAGAATGCAGAGTCCACGGTGGAAGTGAGAGGGTACGGCAATTAGTTGCTGGCAGTGGCCGAGCCGAACTCTTGGCGAAAACTTCCACCTGCTTTGAACGAGTATTCTCGCGATCCTCGATAACTTCAGGGGGAAAAAGTTCAACGAGAAAGAAGAGTACATGTAATAATTCACTTTTTGAAACGTTCTACACTGTACGAGCGAGAAATCTTCGAAAATTTCCAATGCCATAAATCTGAATTTTAATCGACGAGAGATGTCGATCAACTATATAAAAATCGTGTAAAATACGATCGTCGACGGAGAGGAGAATATAACGAGATAACGAGACTCTCGCTAGAATTGTGAACGTGCAGATATATCGAGGTTCACCTGCCTGTTACTTTACTGTGTAACGATTGAGCGATCGCCGATAAACCCGACGTGTGTTAACAACACCGATTTGCCGAAATGTTTTGCGAGTTTGCAACAGTCACGGCGAGTATCTCGAGCGTATCGAACGCGGTGAACGGCGATCCGTCCGCGAGATAGGCGACGAAGGCTCGAATCGAAGAAGGGAAGGCTCGTTACATTTACTCCCAGAGGACAGGTTTGCTCCCTCGAGTACGCCCAGCTTGTAGTAATTATAAATTAACGCGTCAATTAGGGGGCGTGCGAGTTTCGTTTATTATCAATTAGTGACGTGGACGAAATTTGTTGGCTCATCGATAGCCCCGGTAATTGGTGTAAACCGTACGGGATACAACGTTTTAATGCCGCCTCTTCATCAATCCGGCGTGGCGGTGCTTCGTCGTGCTCGAGCGAAGCTCATAAGCGAAGTCGCGCATCCTGCGCGAGGGGGAACTTTCTACGTATTCGATTCGTTGCGTTCCATAAATTCGTTTCTTACTCAATTTCACGCGCGCGTAACGAGCAGCCGCGTGATGCACGCGGTAACTTTTGACTCGGACGATAATTTTTCACCGTCCGAGAGTGAAAGGATTCTAACGCGTTTAATATCGTTCCCGGCGTTAATCCGGCTTATCCGGATGTCCACGGTGAGCCACGGTTAACGAGCGATATCTGTCTTGAGACGTTATCGATCCTCCGCCATCGATACAGTTCCTCCTTGTTAATTCCCGTCATTCCACTGTTAATGCCTCTTTCGTTATTTCTTTACGAGTTTCTGTTCAACTGGTACGTGGTTGGTTGACTTTATTCATCATCAGATTATGTTATGCGGAAATAAATAAATTTCATACGTAGATTTGAAAGTTACCATTGATTTGATCGAGCAGTGGTGCTCGATTAAATTTGCAGATTATTACACGATCTCTCATGCTTAAAAATTTCAAGGAAAAGTGAATTTAGAACTTTGGTAGAAATTTTACCTCGTTGCTGCAGCATTAATTTCAAATCAGAGGAAGATTTGAAGGAAAATTGGCGTAATAATATTATATTATATTAGAATGAAAGGAGAAATGATCGTCGGTGATAAGGCAAAGGAAATTCGATTGGTGTGGAGAGCGCGATTAAATTTCTGTCGCGGGAAAATCGACGAATTTCAATGGGACGTAACGACGCCGTAACCTTAATCCGATTTATCGTAGATATTTTTCCGGCATTCGGTATCGCCAGCCGTGTTGTATCGTTAACGAAGCCGCGCAATCGTCGAGGTGCTTCGCCTCCAGCTCGATGATAGTGGAGGCCGGTGCGGCTTGAAAACACCGACATTTCGTATAATTACCCGTTTCCCTTGACCGGCTACTTAAGCTGGTCACGTCAGTTCCCTTAACCCTTGCGCTACCAGCAGTTAAGGATCGTGTAAACGTCCGGGCTGAGCGAGCAGTTTTAATTGCTACGCGTATCTTCCAAGATGTGATGGAAAAGAAGAAGAAGAAGAAGAAGAAGAAGAAGAAGAAGAAGAAGAAGAGGAGCGTGTTGTCGAGAGAAAGGAAGACAGGAGGAAGATGAGGAACAAAACGGAGAGAAGATCCGT